TAGAAAGTAGAATGTCTAATGCATAGAGTATAATGAAATATTGAAAAATACTTCTTTTAACAACCCTGAATAATTTTCAAACTTGAAATTTATTTCATAATCAATTTAAATCACAAATAATACTACATTTTTAAGATAAACACATATGTTTTATACAAATCTAATATTTTGAAAGAGAAAATTTTTTCTCGTAATATTAAGTTGTAATTACTAATTAGTGGTTGTCAGTTTCTCACTTGTCTTTTAAGAGAACCAAAGAAATCACCCAAACAAAAAATATTCATATCATAAAAATGTAGTGYTTGAAATTCTATAAGAGAAAATCCAAATTCTATGCATGGTGGGGGGAGCATACTTAAAAAATGACACATTCACATTTTACCTGTATAATATACATATAAATAAATATATGAAACACAATTTTACATTATTTAATAAAGAGCTATTTTTAAATAAATCAACTTAAATAGTATTTTCTTTATTAAATATTTGTCTTAACATTAAATGATATGAATTCATAAAAAATAAAAATATAACATACATATTATTATAAAAACATAAATTATAATTATATTGACCAATGTTTGGTTATAATTATTAATTGGACCGTTCAGTCTTACCTTACGAGTAATTTGTTAAATGGGAAACTTTTTTAACCACCATTATAGAAAGGTGAAGTCGCAACCACTTTAACCCTTGACTGTCAGTGTAATTATACTGATTATTATTATTATTTTGCTTTCCTCAGCGTTATGGTTGCAATATTCAGGCATAGACAGGATGGGATGTTGAGATAATACAGAATCCCTTGCCTTAACATATATTGGATCTAATTTGTTTTTTTAATCTAAAATTTTACAATTTTGTTTGAATATTTGTTTTAACTTGGTACCTATTAACGACTTTTACGTATTTTCAATATTGTATACATAATCTACATTATTTTAAATTTGCTCCAAACGTTTTTGTTTTTTGCCCTTTAAATTATGTAGCATCCCGTGCCCTTTTTTACCAGTCCACGCTTGGTAATATTTGTATGCATAATAATATGTTCTTAATTGATACATTTATWTAATGTAAGTGTTAACTAAAAGGTTCGATTAAAAAATGTCTAAAAGAATCACTTAATGCCTAACTATGTTCTATAGGTAATGAGAAAGTAATTTGTCGCATCATGTGATTGAGCATTTTAACAACAGTAAATAGTAACTTACGATAATAAACTAATACCATATAGTTCATATACACAGATACATTTATTTATWATAAATAATAAGTAATCATTACTTGTCATTTATGCTGACAATGAGTAATATCTACAAATAAGTTATACATGATACACAACTAATATTAATTTTGGACAAATAGGTTTTTGTAAAGTCAGATTCTATTTTATAATATTATAAATTAACATTAATGGATAAATCACTAGAAATATCAATTTTTAATACATAAAAGTATAATCAACCGTGTASTAATTGAAATACAATTGTTAATGTTAAGTCGATTATATAATTTTTAACATATGCCATAATATTCGATCAAACTTTAAATTTGTAATAATGTCAATATGGATACAATACAWWAATTTATGTATTGGCCAATAAAAAAAAATAAATACATTTCAACATTTCGAACAATTATTAAGAAATAGACGGTGCAATTTTTCTGTACTTATAGCTTTTACTAGCTGGATTAGCCCAACACAATTTAACATGTTCCTTCATATCTTTAAAATGTTTGTAACAAAATGAACAGTAGGTTTGACTGACTACTTTGGGAGCAATTTTGGGAACTATAGGACCTTGAACCTGGGATCGAGTCATTGGATATGATTGGCTAATCAYAACTGGTGATGTATTGCTGACAGATGTTGGAGACGATTGTAAGAATACTGGTCGTGGCTGTAACATTGTATATTGAACTGGATTGTTCGAGTTCTTTCCATGATCACCCAGAAAAATCTGATAAGCAATTCCAGGCACTTGAGTTGAAGGCATAATTAACTGGTGTTGAGTTGAGGCCTGTTCCAAGTGTGAAGTACTTGCAGAAGCTATTGGCCGGGTCATAGGCAATATAGGTCTAGGTTTACGACCGATCTGTTCTTTAGGCTTTTTCACTGTTTTGAAACCAACTTTTGACATGTTAATTTTTTTCAATCGAATGTCAATTGCTGGTGGTGGTGGTGGTATTGGTTCGCATACAATTGTTGGTTGTAATTTAATCTCCTCTTCTTCTTCTTCTTCGATTTCTTCTATTTCATCTTTAACGTCAATAATGGTTTGGTACTCACATTCTTGAATTTCTTCTTTGATTTGATCCGTAAACAATGCATTTGAAGCTTTTACCCACACTCTTTTATCACCATGAACCGCCAACTCATTCTCTTCATGATTCTTATGTGTTAGTGATTTTACAGCTTCATTTGATTCTTCAAAGTCTTCTGTCACTTCAGTTTCTTCAATTGACTGATGGTCGATGTTATARTTAAAATTGTTGTCATCTTAATTAAAAAATAATAACTATTAGGTTATAAATTATAATGATATGATGAATTCAAAACAATATTTGGAAGCATTTATATTATATTATTAGCATACGAAAATAGCAGAGCAGCATTTAACTAAAGAAAAAAATCTGTAAATGAACAATACTACATAATAATAATGGATTAAAAACAAATATTATTAAAGCAACCTTGAAARTATGATAAATTCATTAAGTTTACCATATGCAGTACGRATTTCAAGGGGTAGGAGCAAGGACTATAACATAACACATCACTCATACATTTGACTAAYTTCAGTAAATTTAATACATACCATAACTTTAAATTTGTTRAGTAAATACATTATCAATCGGTATTATCACTACAAGCTAACTAACTTAATGACAGTAATTTGTTAGGTACACTTATTTGACATAAATGCGTATTAGTATAATTGATCAGGTAATTGCAAGGAAACAATTACCTTCTCAAGAATATTAATACAAAAATATGTAAATATGGTTCGCAAACAGTAGAATTTCAACAGGCCTAAATTCATGATACAAAAAAATAAAATAACAGTTCAATGATATAATATTATAATACTGTGCATTTACTCGGCACAAGTATTGTATAACTTCTTTCCTGAAACATACTCACTCACAAATTATGGATTTAGCCTTAGAGTACTGACATATTGTCATGCGAATAATAAAAGTTATACTTTACCGTTTCAATGGCTGCCATAATTTAATTTATGTTAACAGTATGCTATTGGCAACTGCTTTATAAGATATAAGTACACTTTTTTTTCGATTTAAATCTCCAAAACATCCACGAAAAATTTAAGATTGTATGCTCAAACCAATAGACCTATTAACTAAAATTTAACTTTTCTAAAACTACTCTGTGGTTAATATTCAATAGGTACATTGAGCCAAATGTTAATCGTAAGTAAAATGTAGATCCAACGATCCAAAACTAAATAGTAGAACACTAGAATCTAAAATTACAACTAAATCTTCTGGATCAGGGACTAAACAGTAAATACAAATCAAACCTTATCTATTATCAACCGAACGTTAGATTACAAATCAGACTGATATTGTTAAGGGAGGTATGATTATTCTATCATAGAATATTCTGGAAACGACACTCGCCCCTCCACTTTAATTGCTTTTATTTCGTGGCGGACTGATTGATGTTGTAAGCTTGGCATGATGTTAGAAACGCTTTTAACACTGAAACGGACCGCTCGAGACCAGCCCACCAAAGTTTTAAAAAAAAGGTCACTGCTTACTGCCTTAGAATAAATAACCATATGTCCATATATAATAAATTTAGTAAATAACAATATAATAATAATGTTATAATAACTATCTTCCTATATAATTTTATGATGCTTCCGTACATATTATATAAACGTATTTATATTATATTAATAAATGTGTATTATGAACATCCCTGGTGAACAATTCCCTCATGAATATTTGTTAAATTTATTTATAAGACTTAGAAATTATACTACGTTAACCAGAACCAATCGAAATTTGCAAATTGTATGTAATTTATAAATATTGTTATGTATATGTGTTTTTATTTGATAATGTAGTTAGTAATTTTGTATAAGAACATGGTCTGTAAATAAAATAATGTAAAATGTACTTACTGTTATTAACTGGTTATACTATTATGTTAAAATTTGTTGTTAAATTATTTCATTATCTAGTTTGTATTTAATTAAATTGTAATTCTCTACCTTCAACCATAGGACATTAATGTTCTAAGCTTTAACACATGCTTGTCTTATATCTTATACCTTTATGGCTTTATATAAGGTAGATAATTAATATTTAATTGTATATATTAAATAAGTACTATTATAGCCTATAATTTATAGGTACACTAATAAATTAATATCTGAAAAAAAAACTGCTTACAATATTATAGAACAAAAAGCTTTAAAAAATATATTATCCGTGATCCGTCCTATATACTCATATCGTACATTATTAAAAAAAAAATTGATGTAATATTATAATTTATAATGCTCTTGTCGCACAATTATCAATAATAATGACTTGTCTTATAAATTATCAATAGGAATGATGTTGTAAGCTTGGCGGTAAGATAAGAAGTTACGAACAATTTCAAGGTCATGAAATATTCTACTCATTAACATTGGCCGCCCGAGAGCGTCGCTTCCATAATATTCTATGATTCTATGGTGCTCCATAAGCCTTATGGCTTACACAATATAGGTCTGTGGATGTCTCATCCATAGATATTAAACATTTTAGACAAGTGGAGTAGTGGACAAACATTTTGCGGGGTAACCCCGTACCACTCCACTCTGCCAATCAAAACTTTAAATACTTATAACTCATAAACTACTCGCCCTAAATTCGATTTTTATGATACTTAGAAAATTATTCTGCTTTGGAATATGAAATTAAAACTCTATGTCGTCATTCAAAAAAGTAAAAAATTATAAGGATAAAAATATTTTAAAATAATGTTATATAATAAAAACGTTGGTTTTTGAACAACTTGAAACTATGTAAGAAAATATTTTTAAAAGCATTAGTAATTTTTGAAATAATGATAATGTTTAATGATAAAAGAATCACTCGGTATACCATAACTTCTTCTTATTGACACACTATGACCTAACTATATTATTAACATTTCAAAAACACATAAATATTATGCTCTATAGTAACACAGATGTTGAACCAGTTGTCAAAAAGGGTTAGGTCGTTTGAAAAATCTTTAAGAATAACTACCTTAAATAAGTTTTATTTAAGAATTTAACAGTTGTCGATTTCTGAATAAAATAATTAACTAGGACAGCAGTTAGCTTTGGCAATCTAAATAAAAAATATAAAATAAAAGAATTATTCTGACTTTCAGTTATTTTAATATTGGAAAAATAAAATAGGTTGGCAAGATATTTCTTTTAACCATGGCATATCAGACACATCTCAATTGGTACCATTGATTATTATGAATCTTCATAAATTATAATTATAAAAATGTATTTAAAAAATGTATACACTTGTGTTTTTCTAATATTTTAGGCTGTATTAAAAACCTTAAGAGTTATGACTTACAAAATCACTTTAATTAGACTAGACTATGTAAATTACAATCTGTAAGTTGTAACCTACAAAATTATAACAATTATTGAAAAACTAATAATCATAAAAAAAATTGATTAAATATCGCAACAATTTCCATTAAATTATGTTTTAAACATAAAATGAGAGATTGTTAATAAATAATATTTTTAGATTAAAGATGTTAGTATTGGTCTTAAAGTAACACCCAAATATGTTATATTATGCAATCACTTGAATAAATGTGCAAATAAAACATATTAGTAGGTTTATGTATTTATAAATTGAATAATTAAATAATATATTTGATGAATACAATTTTCTAAGGAACTTATACAAAATAAAATAACAATTTAATTATAAGCGTTTTAGATGAACGTTGTGAATAGTGAAAAAAATAAGGAATAACAAAATTTTAAAAGTACGCTTAAGAGATTATTATTTTTTCTTTTGTTGTTGACTAATGATTAGAGCCGTGGTGTTGGGATTCGGCTAAGGTAGGTGATAAAAGTTTAACAGACTCCGGTAAGAAGTATAAGCCAGTTGGCGTAAACTTCATCACTCCATTATCTGGAGTTGGTGAGACCGATCTGGAATTTCCACTAGCTTCACTAGGTATTTTTTTACCTTAAATAATAAACAATTTTAATATTGGTGATCAAAAATGCTTAAAATAAATACTTACTAGAATTAGAAAGTGGCGATAAAGCTTCATATAGTATAGTAGGTTGTATACTTTCTGATCTTAACATTTGCATGCAACTTTTTAGTTCATCAAGATGACGTTTACGTAAACACTCTAATTCAAAATATTGCCTAAAACGAAATCCAAATTTACATAGCAACTCGAAGAATAAATAATAAATATATTTAATTTGATTCAGTTTTACCTTTGTAACAAATTTTGAAAATCAAAAGAAGATACATTTAATTTAATAGCTTGGGATATTTCATTTGTATTAACAATGTTCATATCTTTTTGATCCTTAGTTTCATCATTCTAAAAAAATTCATTAAAATCAATAAATATACAGATTACAGTAAAACTATAAAAAACATTCTACTGTTGGAATATTCTGGTTAAACATTTGTAACGTACTGAGTGTGAAACTGATTGATAATTATCACAAGGAACATCTGTTTCCATAGATTGTATCACATGTTGGTCGGTTGATAAGGGTAATGAATGGAGATTGACTGCATTTGAGGAATATTTTTTGTACGTATTGGTGTGAATACTAGACAACTTCTAAAACAAATAATCAAATATTTATTCTTAAAATATTCTGATAATGAAATTACTGTAATAGAATACTCTAAATATATTCAAAAGGAGAAGGAACCTCAGAAATTTACTACAATACACCATTGGGATAGAGACGACCATAATATATCATCACTTTTCAGACTCAGAATTATTCTGTCAAAAACCCACTAAGGTTCCTTCTCATTCAGACTACAGTAACAATAAATTATTTAAAAATACATTGTAATAAAACTTTTGAATTTAACATGGTTTTATGGTTTCATAGTTTTTATACTATTTATTTTATTTGTTAATATTATCTTACTCATTATCATAACAATATAATTTTATGCTAATTCATTTCTTTCATAATATAAGCAAAGGTCACAGAATATCTAGTTTACAATACTATAGTCTATAACTATATTAAAATGGACTATGTACTCTTGTCACTTATTAATTAATCATATCTTTTTTGAAATAGTAATAATAATAATATGATTTAATATCTTTTATGTTAATAATAAGTTGTATAGTAAAAAAAAAATATATTAATACTTTGATACCTACACAATACTAAATTTATTCATATTATATAACTTTTTGTTTAACTATTACTTTAAAACATTACCTTTTCTAAACTATGCAAATCAACTGACTGAGCACGACTAATTTTTCTCTCTTTAGAATCTTCTTTATGACTATTTGAATTACTTTCAAATTCCTGATAAATATAAGGAAAACAATTTAGTTAGTAATGCAGTTAAAAAATCAAGCTAAAGAAATAATAAATTGCTTGAAATACTTSAGTAGATGAATCTTGGTTGTGCATAAAATTTGATTGAACCATAATAACATGACCAGGTAATGGTTGCACGACCATAGTTTGTTGATCTTTGTTTTCTTCTGGCACTATCACACGTTGGAGTGTTTCATTACCCGTCAAAATAGATTGAGCTTGCACTGCATGTACTAAAATTGGTCCAACTTCATCGCCAA